GGTCAAATATAGCTTTTTATATTTATGGTATCAGACATTTACTAAAGAAAACAATTGCGTACACGCAAGTAAAATTAGCAAGTTTGGCAGTCAACGTTTTCGGTGAGTGATATCAAACATAGTTAGGTGAATTATTATCCATACTTCGACTACGAATAGCCACGAGATATTAACGGCATGAAATGCTTTCCATACTATTATGTGCAGCCTTTGTTCTACTTTTCTCGTTTCTTCCTCTTTGTACAGAATATTTTTGTCTTTGGAGCTGCTCTATATCAGGATTTACCTTACTAATTATATAAGGTACGCTAAAGACAGTGCTATGAACACCCGAAATCACCTTCCTCGCACACGGGATCACTTGACTGATTTTTCAGATAAATAAAAAAGTAATCGGGGGCAGTTTTTTCTAAATTTTACTTAACACAAAGTGGTTGGCTGAAGGAAAGTTATCTGAATGTTTACAAATCCAATACATCGGGCATGGCTATCATTATAAAATATCAGAAAATGATGGTCAATGTTCACTATAACGTGTACTCAAAATAAAATGCTAAGCGGCATCACTTGTGTTTTGGTATAAACGTATTTAAGGACGCGAGCATCCGCAATTCTGAGCTGATAAAAGTCGTAAATACTAACCTTGGTGTGAGTTGTACTGATCTCTTAGAAATATATTAAGGGATATTTGTTTCAAAATATCCCAACACCTAGTGGCTGTAAACGTTTACTCATTTTGCCATATGCATGTTAATATATATTTATAACTACGCTGAAGGCCATTAACCATAGCACGTTTATGAATATTTCTGTATAAAAACCAAAACGGAAATTTTACATTGAAATGGATGTGAAAGACTATTTAAATATCCATTGAATACGGTGAGCATGGCAAAAAAATGCTTATTTGCCTGCATTTCCCTTCAGGGTTATCAATATTGAAATAATTCATGACAGAAACTAGGAGGTGAAATAGACAAAAATTAACAAGTTGATGATATATACAAACGCATTTATAAGCAGTTTTGAATGACTGAGAGATATATCCATTAAAACCGGAAACATTATGCTTATAAAATCGTTCACGTAGAAAGATAATCCAACCGTGTTTGAACAGTTACATTTGGGGTGTAAAACTAGGCCACAAAAAATAAAGGAGTAACAGCTTATGTTAGAAAAATATGAAGAGTCAAGTGTAAGACCGTTTTGCAAGCCTCACGTTATATTCAATGTTGGCTACCAACTGCAGTCATTACGCAATATATAGGTAAATGTGAATAGCAAGCTTAAGAATGTAACGCCATTTTATGCGAGGCAAATTGAGCCTATGCGTACAATTCCTGATACATACAACGGTACTGCAAGAAGACCTCAATATGAGATATTTTATGAGCCCCACGACGCGACAGTGCGCATGCACTACAAGATATATATAAAAATAGCAGACACATATATTAAAATACAACATTCGGCTTGACAAAAAATGTGTGCTAGGAAGAATCTCTTGGCTTTGCCGCCGACAAAGGTCACACAGCGTTAAGCCGTTGTCGACATTTTAGCGAGTACAATTTTGAGGTTGATATTTTGCGTCGATCGCAGAAGAGGGTGATGATTTACCGATGCAGTTGTCAAACTTGTTTCAGGATGATAGACAATGAAATCACGTGTCATTTGCGTTTTTTCCAAAACAAATATTTTTCGCCTCTAGCAATGTAAATTGAACAAGGACCCTTATCTAAAAAAGAAATTGCCACAGAGAAAAATGAATTTTCGTGAAAAACCTTTCCAATTGTTTACCGAAAGATGTTTAACCTGGGAAGTGTTCACGTAAGTTTGGTTGCTGGAAACTAATTATGAGGTTGGTTTATTTGATCAGCACTATTGTCCTTAATATTCCTGACGAACTGCAAATGAAGATGCAAAACAATAAAATCATCAGCAGTTACAGTTTTTAACGTATCGTTTAATTAACTTTACCTAACATGCACATGCAATGTATTTTTACAAATGCCCCGGATTGGCCGGACGTAGAAAAATGTTATCTTTTTATTGTCACAATAAAATAAGCATTTGCACTATTCTGCATTAAAGTGAGAAAACGTTTCGTATAGACACTGTATAAAAGTTCAGACAGAAGTCTCTTTATTTATGATTTCAGAATGATGACAGAATAAGATGAAATCCTTTGGGAAAATTTGTAATATTCGAGATTAATTGAGTATTTTTTATAAAGGGCACTTATGAGCAAAAATGTTCCGAATGTCTGTAGCACACCCAAATACCATCAACCTTTTGTCGCCAGGCCTTCCGCAATTGTAATCTAGTTAATCCTTCCAAAATTTGATACTCCTGAGGACGCATGACTGTTTACTAAAAGGAAAAATGACTACTGCTAAGAAATTTATGATTAAATTATGGGTTAATGTCTGTTTTTGAACGTTGGGTGCGCATGACAGACCAATATCTGCACTACCATCGTTTGATCATGTGATGAAAAGTGACATCCTGGTTGTAGGCTGGTCAATGTACTCCTTGAGTAGTCTCAATTTTAGAATAAAACGGGACCATATTTGGCGCAGGTAATCTTTCTATACCTGGAACGTCAGTATTAACCGATTTACTGTCATGGAATGACATAATTGACAGTACAGATGAATTTATTATGCATTATTTTATGCTTAATTTATGCTGAGTTAAGAATTTAAAAACTTCAGTCATTCACAAGTTTTGGTTGTCTTTGATTTTTAACTTTATCCTAATGAAGGAGTTCAAATAATTTATGTGTAAGATGAACACGGTCCTCCCGATATGTTGGCATCTAATAATCCGCAAGTTTACCTATCCACACTTGAAGACGAACGTAGCCCTTGTATATTAAGGCCGGTAGTCTAATAAACTCACTTGCACTATGATCTAGGCAATAGCGCATTATGCTTGGTAAACTGCCAAACCCACTTCTAGTTTACCATAGAAAACAGTACGCCTGAGACGTCATGCACACTGATGTACTTTTCAAATATTGATAATCCCTCACAAAAGGTATTAGCTCGTGTATGAAATCTTTAAAACAATTATGGGAAATCTGGGCGAATTAACAAATTCAATGAAATATAAAAAGAATCAATTTTTTGTCCTACAGATGCAAAATGTAGTTATAAATTGAAAAAAAATAGTATCTCATCTTTTCTTTATTCAAATTCATGTGTTCGTTTGTTAAATTCTGGTACATTTTCGAGGGTTTTTACTGCATTTAAGCTTCCAGATTCTGTTTTACGCTTATATCAAAATCTTTAAATTAAAATATCTATCAAATGCGTTTTCCGAAAAAAATCTTTTGTGATATTATTGCTTATGAATATGGTCATGTGGGTCATATTTAGAAATTCTTTGAAGCGTCAATACACATTGTGTGGCAAATTAGTCTACAAAATAAGTCTGATATTGCTATTCCAAAGATGATTTAAAGAACTTTTTATAATAGGTTACTCCTTTGAGAAAGCACTCTAATCAGACAAATATTATTGCGTGCTGCCAATGTCCAGTGTAATATCAAAATGGAAATGAAGAATGTTGACAACGGTTTTTGGCAACAGTTTTTTGAGTATTGTACCTCATATACCCCTAATCTCACCATTTTGTCCTGCGAAAATGGTTGGAATAGGGGTTTTATGTGTGGGGAATTAGGATAGACAGTGGAATATAATTTGATAAATAAATATGCATTTTATTTTATTATATTTAGAAATGTTGTTGATTAATACCCGCAGATTTTCCTTATTTGTATTATCCTTTAACCTATCATGGAAACCGGATTAACAAAACGCAGGTTACTTTAAATTCCTAATAAAGTAGAAATTGGGGTTAACAGGTCGTCTACTTCAACTTATCTGAGGTCTAAGTTACCGGTCTTGAGTCACTTGCGCACACCTTCAATTTACATGCGGAACAACTTACTCGCATCGGCCGCGGGAAACACATTCAACTGCATTTTTCCACTTTGCACGAACTTCTACAAATTTCCTTTACTGTCTTTAGTATTTTCCCACCCCTAAAACCCCCCAAACCACCGTTTGCGTAGGAAAAAATGCTGTGAATAGGTGTACATGAGGTGCACTGCTTAAACTGCTCTTGTGCGTTTTTTATATTTAACTAAAAAATACTCCAGTTTTAGTTGGACATGGAAAACCTTAGTTTTCCATTTATATTGGAGCATGTTCCGCACGAGTTGATTACTTTCAGTCTATCTTCTAAGCTTTCGAATGCAAAAAAGCGTGGCCTAAATTACACAAAACTTTGCGCAAAATGTAAATCTTCTCTGTATTTCGTTTATAAATTACTCGTAAGCGTAAATTATACTATACAAAAGGTATATTTCTACATACCCTGGCTACAATAAGATTGGTTTTTACCTTTTGCTGCGCGATAATGTATATGCAGTCATGTTTACCATCTCAAACCATTGATACGATAGAACAAAACGCAGTGAAAACGCTTTTACTATAATTTGTTAAAAAAACACTTCCAGCATTGGCAAAAGGTAATTTTTAGCACTGAACTTACTCCTGCTCTCTAAAAATAATGCGATTACTTTAACTTGTCTCTCTTTGCTTTCTGCCAACTTCAGGCTACATTTTTCGCTACTGAAGATGATATACTTTAAGCTGTTCTTACTTTTGTTGGGGCTCTTACATAAAATAACGCATATAAATAAAATTTTTAGCTCTGTCGTACTAAATACCCTAGGAAGTATTTTCGATATTAGGCTACCACCGAGTATGCCATAATTTATTTCTCTTATCCTCTTTACACTAAACTTAAAAAGAATTTCACTTACCTGAAGGCTTTCTCGAGTTTAGATTCGCTTATAAATTGATAATAAAGTAAATATATATATATACAGTAAATTACTAAGTCGAATTCCATCATAGCTTACGCATGAATTAATAGCTATACTGTATTTGCGAATGTATTGTGCTACATACTGGAGTATGTACTAGGTGCTGGCCATTTCACCGCCAGTGTATACGAAATAAAAATAACTGTTCCTTGTAAAGAGAAGGCAATGCCCGGAGTCGCTTGTTGACCATTTTAATGCACAGGAATGTTTTGAGGTTTGGCAACAATAAATTGTAATTGAGACTTGACTGGAACACGTGAAATACATTTCCGCATAATTTACTCAGTACGTGGACAAGCACAGTATAAAAGTTAATACGCTTCAAAAAGCCTGTGTTGACCACTGACCTCAATATGCTAATGGAAGTACTACTAATAGTATCGATCAATAAGCGGCGAAAAAGTATATAGTTGCACACCAATGTAGCACTAAATAGTGCACTACGAATGTTGAGCTTCTCAGTCCGCTGATTAAAACTTTCAGTCCATTTGATGCGATTTAGTAAAATGACGTAGAACTGCCTTTTTATTCATAATCTGATCGTTAACATTTAAGCAGAACGTATCATGAGGTTAGATGTAAGCTGACCGATCGCTCTCGCAAACCTTTAAATTCGGAATAAAGTCGGCATTTCAAACAATTTAGTTTTTCGCCCAAATTTTTTGGAAATGATTCTTAGTAACTAGTGCCTTGTTGTGTACTTTTCCTTATGACAGCTTTCTATGTCATGACTTAGGTGACTGCTGTTAAGAACAGTAAGAAGGACGTTTTATATATATATATATATATATATAAAACCTTGGCTAATGAGACAGTCTACTGGTCGATTGACACCGGAATATGGAGCTCTCTGTGGAACAGAAATGCTTGTGTTAATTCCCGTTTTCTAAAAGTAGCCATACAACTATAGCTCTACAACTAACGATAAATTCATCACTCAACCGACCACAACTTTTGAACCGACGCAAATTTTTACCCTAACACCAACTGTAACTCTGGCATGTGTCCTCGAATTTAGTAGAAATCCATCTGTAACACGAGTGTCAGTATTTCCACTCCCAAATCTTCCTACAATCGCCAATTAAAATGCTTAAATAAGGACATTAAAAATAAAAAGTGTACAATTAAAAATATTTACAACATGCATGCTTACTTAAAATGGGTCAATTGCTTGAAATTTATTCATAAATTTATCAAATTAACTATGGAGAACATTGATGACCAACCATTTTCCTCTTGGCTCAGGTGCAGTAATTATATAAATTGTTCAATCTCTTGAAATATTAAGGCAAATTCTGAAATGTATTTTCGATTCGAATGTGCTACTTAAGTCATTCATGCAAAAATGCTGTTAAAAACCAGCGGAGTGTAACACTCGTCGCCTGCGGAGGGTATGAGAGCTAAAAAGACTCACTGGTACTTTAAGGCCATTTTCATTATTCAACCTAATATCATGATGCACTATACAACTAAATTTGAACTCGTAAAAGCTCGCACGCAGTAACGTATGCCCTTGAAGTATCAACCACAGACTGAAAATAACGCGATCCATATCTTCGAGGTAGAGCACTCGTCATGCTCTAGGAGGCGGTAGCTGCTGGCTAACTAACGACACATATCGGCTGTCCATATGATCATAAAAACCACCAGCTACAATCTGCGGCACTACCGTAGATTTGCAGTCTCATAGAGTGTCCACCAAAATTCCGAAATTTGTTCTTGACAATAAAATGATGTTTAAGTAGTTCTGTAGCACTAATAATCACTTATAATATTCAGGGGATATTTTTTTCACGAAACGAGTTCGGCTTCTCAACGGCCTGCCTACTGGCGCAATGCAAACCCAATAGTCTGTAAAACTAAACATTTACGCAGTATGTGGTCTTGCAATTGCTCTTAGGTGTCCTCGTCACTTCCAGTCTATTTTCCAGCATAAATTTATATAATAAATTATTTCACACATTAAACAAGTAGCAGGTTATTTATTCTTCGAATTCCTTATTTGAAGGAAATGTAGTTTTCTGCATTTCAAAGACGTTTCTGTTCAAAAAAATCATATCCCCAACCAATAGCTACATTTTAATTTAGGGTTTCTGATTGTCAGCGTTGATATTGTTTGCCTACTTACTAAGGTCGATGTGTTATCGAGGTAGACAATTTTGTGTACTGTATAAGTAGAATTTGCAGGTGAAATAATATGACACTTTAGGAATGGAAAGCTTTCAGTCAAAAAAATTTAAAAATTGCCGAACGTTTAAAACAGAAAACTTTCATTTCAACATTAAACTTTAAAGAACATATAGGCCTCAGCCGGCCAAAAAGTTGTTCTTTCAAACACTGCAAAGAACATAGCACATAAAATTAAAACATTTTTAAAGCTTTGATAAAAGAAAGATCAAAAAACGCAAAAGTAGACTAATGCGTTTTAGTTGGCAGCGTAGTTCAACCTAAAAGAACATCTCTGTTATAATTCCTAGGTTTGACGTACAAATATTTGTAAGTGAGTTGTTATTTAAAGCCGTTAAATGCATTATTGTTACTCTTTTAAATGCGCGTTTTGGGAACTGTGGTCACAGTTTATGTTCGCCCTGAGTAACATTAAACTCCCAATTTTGATATTTTACCTAAGCTGCCAACCTGACGTTCTGAAATGAATGTAATCAATCTTTTTTTGTCAGTAGGCCTTCACCTTTGGAGTTCTATCAGTTTAATGAGACAATCAGCTCACCTCCTGTCAGCCTCCGCTGCGTTTAAATTTATTCTGAAATAAAAAAAAGTTTAAAAGAGTTGATTCAATGGAAAGGGTGTGACTATTTTCAGCCGCAGCAGTGGATAGATAAGGAAGTCAAATCTATTATTACGAAAATAAATTTGACGGGTTGTTTTTCACGAGAAGCATTTATCAGTGTCTCCATGGAACGCATTTCTAATTAACGTCCTCAGTAAATGACACTTGTCGACCCCTAAAATTAACCCGCTAAAACCTTCCGCATTGATTTTAGCAGCTTGCAGGCAGCTAGTGTTATTTAACCTACTAAGGCACATGAATCAAACTAACACTTAGATCTGAGGAAGCAATATTTCACATGATATGGTCCACCTGGCCGGTATCCAGAATGCTGCATTAAGCGAAGACAACACCCAGACATTAACCACTATATAGTATGCTGCGGGCGATTTGTATGCAATTGAAATAATTGTGTTACTGTCTTCTGATGCAAAATCGCCTGCTTTTTAAACATAATGTTTTAAAAATGTTTCCTTTGCACAGGCCTTCTATCACAATGGACCCAACCAAGTCGACTTCCTACACCTACTGAAGGAGCAGGTGGATGCCGTTCAGGTCTACGGCGTTCGTCTGAATACTTGCAGTTTAAGTGGCATGATAAATGGCACGGCCACGAGTAAAACCAGGCGCAATACCATTGCAAACAGCATGGTCACATTCGCCCGACCGGGCGGTTATTTGCTGCTTCGTGGCTGGAAAACTATTTCCCGCGGAAGAATTGCCTTTCGGTTGCGGACGTTCCGCAAAAATTGCCTTCTGCTCTACTCCTCCTCCACTTGGCCGCTACGGTCCCGCATAAGCGACCTGGCTGAGATGAAACGCAAAGCAGGCGCGTTGGGCAGCTTTTTGGAGGTTGTGAACGCAAGCTCCCGCCTAACTGGAACAGACCTCTTCTCCGTGGAATTACGCGAAGGCTATTTGGTGCTCCTCCTCAACACCGGTTCTGGAATAAATGAATTTCAAACCGACGCCATTTGGCGGCAGGCAAAATCACCATGGTTTTCGGCTGATGGCAAGGAACACTCCGTTGAAATCAAGCTGACTGATGGGTACATGCAAGTCACATTTGATGGGATGGAGAATCATATGAAGCTGACCAAAAAGCCGAGGTATGCATGCAAAGTAAAACTTTACTTTGGTCAAAAGCTTTACTTAAAATCACTTGCATTTTCCATCCGAGGCTATTGGAGACAGTTTAATAGATTCGGCTTTATTTAACTCCATGTGGGCAATGATACAGTTTGAGGACAGACAGCACGAACTAACAAAGATACTTTGATTCATTGAAAGGTGTGATTCTAATCACCTTTTGTTCACCGGCCAGTATATTAAAACATATGGCATCAACCCATTCTAATAGTTCCAGCTAATGCTTGCTAATAATTTCCTCGACATTTAACCTAGAATCTACCAGGGTACTATCATCTGGGATTTTTGTATGATTGGACGATGAAGGCCGAAAGGCAACAATTACCCCTCCAGTCTCGCTTAACTACTTTGGCAATGTTCATCACCTTATAACATTAGCGGCTGTATGGCTCCTTGCGGGGATCTAGAATGAGCCCAAGGGTAGAACTGAACGAGTGCATCCCGTAACCGACCAGTGAGCGTCCATCCACCATTGATATGGCCGTGTCAGCCTATGTGTACCTTATTACTGCGTGTTATGTCGATTAAGAAAATTCTTTCTTTCCAATGACCTGTCCGCTGGCAAATATCTGAATTCAAGTTCGACTGATCTGAAGATGGACTCCTGTAAGAGTTCGAAAGCTCAGGACAGTAAAATAATGGATCCGGTGCTCGACACGTCTTCTTCCTTGTCCGTGTAAATACCTGGAACGCCAACCTTTTCATTCATTCGGGTGACTGATAAGTAGAAAATAGCACTAGCAAGCCAAACACAAGGAGTGATGACACAGATAGTTTAACAGCAACGTTTTAAACGAGTGTTCACTACTGAGATTTAAAGATATTTCATTTATGTAAAAATTTTCAAAACGTATATTTGCTGTCTGTTTTACGCTTTCATTTTTACAGTTATAGAAAGTTAGTTAATGCATTTTTTTATTAGTTTATAAACTAGAGAGTATGGTTTGCAGCCAACATCGTTTCGCATGAATCCGAAATAAATCCCTACGTTTAATGGATAGTTCAGATTTGACTGAAATTTATATACCTAATAATGATATCCATGCTGTTTTTATGAAAAAATTTGAAACATATCACGCAAAGACAAAATGCTTAAAAAGCTTAAAGACCGCTGATTGTATGGATATCTGATGCCAGTACGTAAAATCGGGTCTTAGAGTGATAAAAATACAGCAATTATATAGTTGCATTGACGATTCACAAGCCTTTGTTTTATCAGCTATGATCCGGTTAAAGTAAGAAAAGCAATGGATACGTCTATCATAAGCAGTTTACCTGTTTATGCGTTGCAATCTCAAATAATATTGGAACCTATGCACTGGTGCAAGAGTAAGTCTAATTCGAAACTAATTGGCATTAAAATGCAATCTTAATTCCCCTCGCATCCGCCCTAATTTCATTTTGTGTTTGCAAATGACATAAACATTTAAACAACCTGTCTGGGTTATGACAGGTAATGATTGCAATTCATTTGCTGAATTGTCTACAAAAAGTGTTTTTGAATGCGTTCAAACTACGACATGAGGTACACAATTATTTTTAAAAATACTTTTTACATAGACCCGACGAAAATGTTAGTGCTATACAAATGTGTAGGATGCAGAAAACATAGACGGTAAGTTGGCATAATTATAAATAAAAATTACCTAATAAGGAACTGCTAGATAGTTTTGGAAATATTCTCCTGCACAAAAACAAGAATCTTTGAAGCCTTTGGAAGTATTCAAGGCTTTCTTGTTTGTTTTCCTAATTGCCATTCTGTTTGAAGATTATTTTGCAGATATCTATTTTGAGAACTTATGTTTCTTTATGAGTATCTGTATTCATTTTTCAAATTGTCTTTTTTGGGTCGTAAGGCTGCTTATTAAGTATTTACAAACCAGTTTTTCTCTGTAGCATAATCTATTGGCATTTATTGCGGATAAATTTTGAATTAATTTGCTAAACTCTGCTTGTGTATGTATTAGCTAACCCAGTGAATACTTTTAACATAAACATAAGCCTCAGTTCAATTTTATAAAACACCACACTGCGTACTTAATAACGGTATTTGATATTTTAATGAAAATTCTTATGGCAGGAAATGAATCTTTTGTTTATCCTGCTAATCCACAGTTTCATGGGCTACAAGAAACCGTTTAAGACGGCGTTTTTTTCAAGACACTTTAAATACTCTCACGCCAGATTGATGGGCTAGATGCACCTTAGACTGTACCAAAATGTGTAAGCCTCAAACACGTGTCCGGCAGCGGACTATCTATGACCTCGGGAACAAATAATTCCACTAGCATACACTAAATGTGACGATACCTCATACACATCTACATAAGGATAGCAAAGACGTTTGGTTGTACTGAGCCTTGGCTGTTGGGCATCCGTGAACGTATAAGAACAATTTTGTATTCGGCTGAAATATGGCTCTGTACAGCCATCCAAAGAAGAGCAACGTAATAAAAGTTATGTGTTCAAAAAGGTAGGTTATTTATTTTAACTAATAAGGCACACGCACTCAAGTAATCCTAAATTAATACCGCTGGAAAACCTCTGACATCGATGACGATATACAATTCACTAGTTGCAAAGAATAAGGAGATATTCTCATTTGAAATAGCCTCATCTTTGCTTGGCTACGTCAAATCCTTAACGAGTGCTTCACCAGAGACATAAACAGAAAGAGTAGCAGAAAAGCGTATTTCCTCCAATGAAGGAACCCCAACGGATTTTGAAAAGGCCAAGCGAATAAAAGCCTTGTCCCAGAGGTTGCATCATCTTCTCAATTATTTCCAGGGACACGCATTTTCGCTTGTATTGGCCGATTATTATTTGCCGATTGTTCGATTAAAGATGAATCAAAATAGAACGCTAATATTTAATGCAATCAACAATATGTATACAAATCACAATTATCCATCAACGTTTTACTAAAGCCTTCGCCCCTATAGAATAATGTTTAAATGCACTGTTTCGTCTTCCTCCCTACAAAGAGGTCTCTGATGTAAGCATAGCCGCTTTTGCAAGGCCCCACTGGTCACTTAAGGACGGTGGTTATGTATATAATTTGCAAGGAGTAAGTCTAGCTGCAAAAATAGCACTGCTAGTAGGCTGATTATCCTATCAGAATAAAAAAAGAAGTCATCACAAATGGGTGATTCAGGAGTGTCTGCAGTCCAGCAACAACTCGACCTTCGCAGCTTACATTGATAAGCATCAGATGCTTTTTTCAATCTTCTGAATCACTGGACACGCAAAAGCTGTCGCTAGGGCGCACAGTTGTCATTCCTTTTTGCTGTTGCGATTGCATGGCCACGCAAAAGCTCTAGCATAGGATTTAGAATGAAACTAAAAAACATTGATAGAATTTAGAGTTTTACTTTTATATAATTATGCAATATAAAATTTAAAACAAATTAATAAAATGCGCACACAAACTTATATTTGGTTGTTGTTTTGTTCGAATACCAATGGGAATTTAAGTTGTATATTTTTCATCCAAAATAATAAAAAACCGACTTTAAAATGAATATTTAGACTGTCTTGATAATGGAACAGGATAGATAATAGTTCAGGTTTTTACGGCAAATTTGGCAATCCAGTATTTGCGAAAGACGTTATGGGGAACATGTTCTAAAACATGTACATCTTTTCCTACAAAACTGTTTTATGATAAGATAATACAAGCAAGTCTTAATGTTAGGTAAAATGTTTCTGATTTTCTATTTTATTTGCAGGGGATCTTTTTACGGTCTTCTATATATTTTCCAATATTTGGCAGAACACCTTACTGAGTAGCTTGTTCTAGGATATATTAAAAATATGTTACCTGTAACAAGCAAAATCAAAAAAACTTCTTAGTTCTCCGTATAGAAGTGAATTGACCAAACTGGATACGGGGCCAGTTCATCCAATTTTGTGTTATGGTTTAGCCTAAAATTCCTACAGACAATTGCCGATCTACCAGTATTATGTACAGAGGTTTGGAAGAGACTGGTGAGTATTGACGACAAGCTGTCAATCGCCATCCAGTGTCGTTAGAGAAAAATCGTTTGTGATTAATGTACGTAATTTCCCTTATTTAACGGAAGAATGCTCTTGACAGTAATCGCATGCTTATGGCGAACGCAAGTGAGATTAACATATTGCTCTCAAACTATTTTAATTAGAAATCCAGGCTCTTCGCGAGGTTCTGAAGACGAAGGCAAAGGGGTTGGATGGACAACTACGGATAGTCTGCTGAAATCGGTAAAAATTTCCAAGACGTCCTTGGCATGGGTTCTAGTTTGCAGTGGGGGTAGGAGGGGCTGACCAGCAATATCGCACGGAAATACGCGTTCAAGAGTGCCCTAGGGCTCACTTTCTAGTTTCGCCTACGGCCACAGAGCGGCCAATATCAAAAGCAAAATGCCAATTTCCACAAAGAAAAATGAGACTGCAATTGGTAATTTCCCACCTCAATATATAATTCGCCATATACTTTAGTGTAGCTGACATGCCATGCTTGGTATGTTGGCTTTCTGTTCAAAAGATCCCACTTTTGTGTTTCAGGAGTTGTGAACGCTGGCGTTGCGTATGGCCGGCTGCTAGAAAGTAGCAAGCCCGAAGTGACCATTACGCTCTTCCTTACGGTACTGATTATGACGTCAATCAAAAATAACCGTTTTCGAAGGAAGATATCTATTCTTTTACGACCCGATATGGTGAAAATAGTCATTTGAGTTGGGATTAGGGAAGAGAACCTACTACGTAATTGAAGTTGTATTGAAATGTTTGTTAAAATGGGCTTGCATTTGTCATGTTCAGACGATACGTTTCTATTGCACTTCCCTCAGAGGTAAACCAAAATATGGTTTTTTATTTTTCCATCATGACACATCCGTTGAGCGTAACAACTGCACAGATCCCAGACTGATATAAAAATTAGACAACCAATTGATATCATCAAAAGATATGCTAAATGAATGATGCACTTTGTCTATCGCCATCACAATCACCAAAACTTTCTAGTGAAAGCGACCATAATGTTCTCTCTATCGAAGCCAATCTGGAAACATTGTCTCCTACATTTGAACATGTGTTGATATTAGGCAACTTATTAAGGTCATTGACGATTCTGCAAATAAGAAAATACTGGCTGCGACATCATAGAATACAGTGCATTATATCATGCGGATTAATGAACAGACGGGCCTAGTTCTAAAAGGTCTCTTAGCTCTCATTGACTTCAAATTTTAAAAAAAACCTTTCAGATAAATTTTGCATTTGCTGTTTTTACTTGGCCAACATGGTTCTACCACCCATCATTCAAGAGGGCATTTCGACGGATGTGTTCGACGCGGCAATAACGGACTTGCGCTGCTATTCAACTCTCATAGTTTGTCCCGTACATATGCGTTTTATGTTTTTATGACTGTGAGTATTTATACCTGTTTAGTTACGAGGACCGATGCAGGACGGTGTAACTGTTATCTAAAATAATGGGCGGGCAATGGTAGCATATGGGAGCTTCACATTTGCACTTTCCTGACAGTGGTTGCAAGTGACGTAGTATAAAAGTCAGTAACTTTTTCTTGCTTCGCATTTGAAACAACTAAGTTAAGGTGTTGTGTCGTTTGCGTTTACCTTTTAACCTCTATTTATTTTACATTGCAGATTTTATTCCAAGAGGGCCTATGAATATAACCATAAAAAAGTAAAAAATTTCAGATAGAAATTAAGGGGGAAACTAGGCTCAAGAAGGCGAGAGAATTTGGTGTGGACAAACTGCAGGATAGGTAATGGTGCAAGGTTCCTATCATCTTTAAACTGGCTGGCTTTATATTGTGAAATCCGTAGTCATCCTGGTTTAATGGTGCGGTTTGTTCGAGGGGGTGTAAAGGTAGATAGTTTCCTTTAGCGCTATAGCACATCTAAGAATAAGAGTAGCATGTCAACTTTACACGATCCTGACAAATACAAAATCTCTGGTCTTCGTAATGATGGTAACTATGGAAAAAGTGATTAGTATCGCCTTCATATTTATAAATAATTATTTCGTTTGCATTACTGTGTGCTGTTTGACATCCGAATATCTGCGTGCGATACCGCTTTGTACGCGAAGATGGGCTAAGGAAAACGCATTACCCGCGTTACCGTTTTGATGATCTCCAGTCCTAAGTTATCCGAGGCACAATAAATCTCACTTGAATAGACATTATTCTAGAAACCAGTGGTTTGATCCCCTGATCAGTCATCGGCCGTAATCAAATTTATCGACTGAAAAAAAAAGAGTCGCAAAGAAACTAAGTAAAATACCTTTGCACCTCTTTCATGGTCAACGTTTACTTTGAAGTAATCAAATGCGCAGTCGAAAGTTGAAAGAAAGCAAAGCAATATGCTTTCTAGAAAAGAATCAGTAATAACAGCTTAGTCGTGAAATACCTTTACTGTTTAAATAATAAAATTTATGAACATGTCCTTGACGGTCAGTTCTGTCGAGACTTAAAAATAATGAGAGGGAATAAGACTGAGCAATATATGGGGATATTGTATATTTAGCCGGTGGATGACAATTTCAAACTTCTTAAAATGATGGTAAGAAGTATATTATATTCTATGATATGGTCTACCACACAAGGGTTTTCCATTAAATATAATTTTGGCAATCGCCATAATATTCTGCTACGCCGAGGGGATTTGGGATAAGCGTCCGCTGTTAAGGCAAGACCAAACAAATATCAGTGCACTTCACGAATGCTGAAAATGCGTTCTGCGCTCAAGTAACAGTGGACGTTTTAAATTCAACTACCGTCAGTTATAAGACCAAACACTATGAAGACACTAAAAGGAGCACAATATAAGTAGCATTTTCGTCAAAAATGCAGCAGCATGTTGCTCAAGCCGACAGTTAGCTACTCATGTATTCGAACAATGTCGAAACTCAATGAAAAAATGATGCCGGCAACATATATTCTTCTTATTTGCATCATTTTCTTTGAAACGTTAAGTGCTTAACTGTTATCCTATTCGTCAAATTCACCTGGTTTGCTTGTTTTACTCACATAAACAGAACTATATTTTTGTTGAACAAGGCGATGTTTTCTAATTTATGAGCACATTATTATGGATTTATTTCTCTAATTACCTCTTGTGGAGCGGTTTAGGGTCTGATGGTATCACCAAAAGCTACACTAGTAAATCTTGCACTTTTCGTTTTAAGTGCTTGACTTCTGTTGCGGTTTAACATTTGTATGACCTTTCAAGAGGCTCGCGTTATTTGTACGCAAACCAAAAGAATTCAAATTTTTAATGAATAGCCCATGCACTTAAAGAGTAAAAACGATGGAAACTTACTTCTATTTTGACCATTTTCCCAACACGTTCCGTTAGCACAGGAATACGTTATGCGTGCGAATATGCTCTGCATTGCTCGCACAACTTTTGCAGTGGTGCCGTTTTACGCGCCGACACAACTCTTTATCTGTATTTCGATATATTTCACAGATACACATACCTGAATCTAAATGGTGACCTCTACGTCGGTGGGCTTCCGGAGGAGTTACGACTGTCAAATAATGAGTTACCGCCGCAGGTATGGTCTGCGCATCTTCGAGAGGACTTCATAGGCTGCATCGGCCACCTCGAAATTGATGGAGAACCAGCAGATCTGCACTTGGAGGCCACGGCCACATGGGCTCGCAATCACGTGGAACAGGGCTGCAGATCTCCTAATGGAGCCTGTGAGGCTGATATTTGCGCGCCCGGAGTTTGTGACGAGGGCTGGGCGGAGCCCCTCTGTGAGTGCGTCGACACAAATCGCGACGGACCCCACTGCAAAGAAGGTATGGCGCTACCAACTCCTATGCTTCACCATAATCTATACAACGAGAATGCGCAAAGGCTTCCGGTTTAATTTTATATAGTAAATGGTACATTAAAGGTCAGCATATATTAATAGTATATTATCGTGCTTAAATAGGCCTCAAAAATTAACGTAGAGGTTACACATGCAGTATTGACATCGTCAATACAAGTGAAAATGTGAGTCCTAGAAAGTATTGGAGAAGTAGACGATGACTCGATCTCTGGGCCAATACTTTTATTCGACTGAAGTTTCGATATCCGTCGCGGATTCGTCATCAGAAACAAGTTTCGAAAGCAATAGCAGATAACGTAGTACATGCACAGGAGTTTGCAGTGTTTATATGAAACATCTGAAGTCGTCTACATGATCTGGTGGCGTTGCGGGCAAAACAACTATGTCGAAGAGAGTGGCAGGCTTCTGAAGACGCGAATTGCCGAACACACGGCAGCAGTGCGGCGAAATGATGCCAATTCTCAAGTTGTGGCCCACGCGACGAGACCCGACCACACATTCAAATTTGATGAGGCCGACATCCTCGCAAGAGGTGACAATCTGGTGAGCCGAGAATTACTTGAGCCATGGTTCACGGGCCTCCAATCCATCAACAATTGCAAGGATTTGTCCAATCCATATTTGGTGCTGGGACTCAATTTGGCCAAAGCAAGTCGCCAATTGGGAAAGGAACAGGCATTCGCCTCATCCTATACCAGTACCGGAGGGCTAGATGTCCGGGCAATCATCAGGCCCTAGTCCACCACGCGTGATGAAAGGCCAGCAGGTCAGAGCCCGCATGCCGTTCCAAGGACCACTAACACTCAGAAAGGCAATTATGGTCAATTGTCATCGTATTTTTGTAGTTATTACTGTATCCTATAAATACTGCAAACGCCTGTGTATGTACTACCTTATCTGCCATTGCTCTCGGACTTTGTCTCTGATGACGAATCCGCGACGGTTATCGAAACGTCAGGCGGATAAAAGTATTGTCCCAACGATCGAGTCGTCTTCTCAAGAACTGGCATCTTAGGGGCAGGCCAGATCATATAATCCTGACACCGAAAGCTACGGACCTATCCAGAGCTTCAAGCTACCCACCATATGCATAAAAACCTAACCTTATGGGATTGTCTAGTGCGTTCGATTCTTTCTCACTTGCACCTTGAGGCATTATGCGATTGGTGAAACAAATGTCTGGGCATTTTGAAACTACGTAGAGTGGGAATATGGTTAATACGTTAAATGTCCTGCACAAATGACTGCTCGTTAACCACTTGTTATCACTGTGCAGTTATTTCGCTTGAGCATTAGGTGTGAAGCTCAAATTTTCACGTGAAGTTTCCAACGGCGTCTGAAGATGTCAACCAACTTCATTAAACTAAGCCTTGCTGTGGCAAAAATCTAATGCGCATCTAAGACGATAGCTGAAAATGGAGACGTTTTTCCCCGTGACGAATTTTATACCGGCTATAGGCAGCATGATTGATTAGATACAATAAAGTTCGCGACGGCTTTTCATCTGTCTTTGCATGATTTAGATAACGACTGGAGTCATACTATTCGTTGAATTTTTATTGTTCAATGCAAATAATGATCAGACGAAAGGCATTATGATAAGACAGCATGTAGGATAGGAAAATGAGGGAGGCATTAAACAAAAATTCTAGGACCGAGAATAACAGGTTATTTCAAATTGGCTACAGAGTCTAGCAGTTTATATAGGTCGGGCTTCTGCCGCCGTATATGGGCTGCCTTTAAGGAGTGCAGGGTTGGTTTGCTCGTGCTCGAAATATTACTCGAAAGGCTCTTTTGGGATTAAAAAAGAGATGACTATGAATTTAATCGGACTCTATTACAGAGCTTAAGGTCATCCTATGTGCATCCATAAACATCATGTTCATGCAAATGATATTGATCTATTCTCGTCGACCATACCCTCATTTATTTCAATTTTTTATTTTCGTTGGCGGAAATTTATTTCCAAACGGCTATCTGTAAAAAAATCTAAGTAGTCGATGACTACCTAAAAATGAGGTTAAAACAGAGAGCTTAGCAAGCCCGCAATGTTTAGTACTGATATTATTTTGAATATGAGAGATGAATGAATGACACTAATTAAACCATCTTATGTCATTACGTTACTTTTATGCAGAAATGAGGTATCCCATGGTGCATTGCTTCTTTTTAGATGCAGGCTATAAATGTGGGGTTAATTTTCAAAACACTGCGAATGAAATTTGCCTCTACGTAGACAAGTCTTTCCACATGGTTACATATTGGATTATAATGTCAGCCTTTTCTCCGATTGTTCTTAAATTATCTCCATAAAAAAACAACTGTGACACTTTTGTGGTTAATTGTCCTGATGCATTGTTTGTAATTCACCGTGACTATTGTTTAGGCAGGAATTAAAAAAACAAAAAGTTAGTGTTACTTTCTGGAGTATTGCTGAAGACCATATAAATGGGTTGTCCTTTACCCCCTAAAAAAACCGGCAACGTCATTTTCACATAAATCACGATCACAAGACGACCAAACGCGTGAAATACGTCAACATCAACCAATTTCCATAAGGTGGAACTAGACATTCTGCTTTTGGTCGCTTTTTTCGCTTTTAAAAATGGAGGTATAACATAAACAATATGCATATTGGGTTTAGTGTATCAAATACTACTGAATATGTAGATAGTCGTAAGGGATGGGATTAATTAACGGAAAAACATAACAACACATATCTGAACTTACGAAATAGTAGGACGCAAGGCAAACCATCATGCATATTCTCAAAATATTGAAGTCTATTCAATTTTGGCGTGTCAACAACGAAAACCAAGATTACAATTTCGCTGTTTGGACTTATCAGTAGTCATTGGTCAGATTTCCTCAAAACCCGCTTCCAGACTCCTGACTAACAACGCGAAATCACTTGCCCTCAGAAAACCTCTATCTCGAGTTTGCAAAAAGTCTGACTAGCGACGTTGAGCAAATTAACACCATCAAACCCACACGTCATTACCTTTGTCCGTGTTTTTCTACAACCTATACTACTAATCTCTACGAAATCTTAAATGAGGGCACGAGATTAATCGTAAAAGCCAAAAACGAGGACAGCTGCGTAACTTAGTCAGTGAACGCATTTGCACTTTAACAGCGCATTTTACTAAGTGCCATACAACGGTGAGGGGACAATACCGTACCTCTAAGGTAGCTATGCGTATGCTGTTCTGAGTATAATGATTAGTACGCACGTAGGAGCTAGTTGTTTGGCCACTGATTTTTGCAGAATAGTCATGTTCTCGCACATTCGACCTAGTTATCATAAATCCGTAAATAAGAAATGGCTATAAATAAACAAATCTTTTGTGTGAGCCCCGTCTGACTACTTTGTGTCCTACAACGTAAAATGTGACAATGGCGATTAAAACCATGCCTTAATACTAGGCGCTCTTATATTGTTTTAATTCCAAGGTTTCTCAACGATTATTGTTTAGATGCAAAAAGGTTCTTTTAAGATTTGCGCCTAAAATAATGCTACTCAGTGTCCAATCTAAAATACGCGATTATGGTCTGCGGTTTTTGAGTATTAATTCACTTGTGCTCCTAGTTGCAGATGTTGTCGTGGTTTTAGCGTAACAATGTCAGAATTTTAACTCAGCTAGCGGCTTGTTCATTGATGTACTCTTACCGTTGCGAGACATTGAAAAAAGTCCTATTATAATTAATGAATCCACGCTTATTAAAACAAAAATAGTACCATAAAGCACTAGCTGCGTGCAGCTAGGAAAATTGAAACTTCGCAAACCTAAAACAGATATAAGCTAAATATGCGAGGTTATATATGGTGGACCGCAAACTTCTATATTTAAGGTGTACCAAATTTGCTCTCTCATTATTGGCTACGGCAATATGTCGTTTAAACGTTGCCCTGAGGCGGTTTAATTACATTACTGCTGCTTAATAATTTATGAAATTAAGTTTGGTTGAAAATCTGGTAAAGGCGTCTCTAGTTCTGCTTCCAATGTTCTCCTGCAGTACATAGATAATAAGCGCTTTGGCAAATCGTGATTACGCACTCATACGGAAAAATTAAGGCAGAGTCATTTAAGATGATCTCTTGTGGTACAAGTTTCTGAGTACTTATTCACGATGCATTTTTGTCCTTGGACGAACCCTGAAAAAGTTTTCAGGTGGTTTTCTCCTGCTAAGCTTGAAATTCTTACAACAATGGATATAAGGGCTTGTTTGCGTGTGTGAAGATTGCGTTCCGTTCTTCTAATTTACCAGGCTTTTTCATACTTCACGATTTCCCTTTATTTTGTGTAGGTCCGTATATAAAATCTCATAATGTAAAATTTTCCTGTTTTTCTCAGGAATATGCAACCAAGTAGTTAATTTTCCGCAAAATTGTGAGAGACAGCTAGTATACGCATAAGGCGTGGGTATCAGGAAGCTAAGATGAAGATCAAATGTGGAGTTATGGCTCAACCTGTTTTTACAACCAGTGAGTATTTAGCACCCTGTAGTTTATCGCAAGACTGCCAGCATTAAGAAGGGCCTGCATATCTGTTTCTGGCAAAAGTAGCTTATGTAGCCCCGCTCATATACTCCTAGTCCCAGCAATTTGTCCTGCAAAAAAGGTGGCTGTAGAGTTTTGGGGGGGATGGGTAGATAGGATAGGCAGAGAAGGAAATTTTTAGAAAAAAGTGTAAAGTGAAAAAACGTAGTCAAACTTGCTTCCCGCGGCCGCTGGGAGCAGATTGTTCCGCATGTAAATTGAAGGTG